GGCATGACCTCAAGTTAAGGTGTGATTCCCCTTTAGAGACTCTGGGTGGAATCCATTCCTCACCTTTTCCAGTGACTGGAGACCACCCACATTCCTTGTTCATAGCCCCTTCCTCCATCTAGCAAAGGCCAGTGGAATCCTCATATTGTATCATTCTGAACCCATTTCCACTTTTAAGGACTCCTGGGATTGCACTGGGCTTTTGGGCTTTCCCAGATAATTTGCTGTTATCTCCCCATCTTAAGATCTGCTAATAATACTTACCTGACAGAGGAGATACCATGATCACAAAGGTGGTTTTCCCAGGGTGAGGCTTATCCATTGCCCTCCAGATGTGCTGACCCCTGTGATTTCCCTTTTTCTATATTAAAATTTTTTTTAAAAAAAGATCAGCTAATTAATAACCTTAATTTCTTATACAGTAATCTTAATTCTCCTTTACCACATTATATTCACAGGTTCCAAGAAGTAGGACATAAGTATCTTTGGGGTGTGGTACACAGTACCTCTCACAATCTGGTACTAACTTACCTTCTTTTTTTTTTTGACACGGAGTTTCCCTCTTGGCACCCAGGCTGGAGTGCAATGGCCTGGTCTTGGCTCACTGCAAACACCGCCTCCCAGGTTCTAGCGATTCTCCTGCCTCATCCTCCCAAGTATCTGAGATTACAGGCACCTGCCACCACACCCACCTAATTTTTGCTTTTTTAGTAGAGACAGGGTTTCACCATGTTGGCCAGGCTGGTCTTGAACTCCTGACCTCAGGTGACCCACCTGCCTTGGCCTGTCAAAGTGCTGGGATTACAGGTGTGAGCCACTGCCCCTGGCTAACTTACCTTCTTAACCTTACTTCCAAGCACTTCTAGGTTGACCACAATCTAGCTATGCTTGTCTCTATGCTGTTTGCTATGCTTGAAATGCTCCCTTCATGCCCCCATCCCTCCCACCTTTTCTTCGTGTCTGCTGCCTTTTAAAGCCTAATTCGGACAGGTGCGATGGCTCATGCCTGTAATCATAGCACTTTGGGAGGCTGATGTGGGCAGATCATGAGGTCAGAAGAGCAAGACCATCCTGGCTAACATGGTGAAACCCCATCTCTACTAAAAATACAAAAAATTAGCCAGGCATGGTGGCACGTACCTGTCCCAGCTACCCAGGAGGCTGAGGCAGGAGAACTCCTTGAACCTGGGAGGCAAGGGTTGCAGTGAGCCACGACTGCACCACTGCACTCCAGCCTGGACAACAGTGCAAGACTCCATCTCAGGAAAAAAAAAAAAAAAAAAAAAAAAAGCCTAATTCACATTGCCTACCTCTGTGAAGCCTCTCCTGTTTTTTCTTTGTTCCCTTACCTGCAAGCACAGAGCATACAGGCCTCTATACTTTTTAAATGAAGTAGAAACCATGCCATAGTGGTAGGAACTCTTGCTTGCACTTTTCCGTGTGTGATCAGACGCATGGGTTAAGTGAGGTTCGAAGCCAAGTTGTTAGACTTAGTAGGACACTTGGAGTGTTTAGGAGAGCTGTGGTAATATAAACAAACTCTAAGGAATAAGTTGGGTAATGTGGTGCAGGAAGAAAACATTGCCTGTTCTTTGCCTAAATCGAAAGAAAATGGAAAAGGGCTCAATCAGTAGTTTGAAAAGAAAAGCAAGCTTAAAGATGAACATTAAAGACCAAGATCAAGCAGCCAATATAATCAGACATTAAGAAAGGGCAAGAGGAAAAGAAAAGAGGAAGGGGAAAGAAAGAGGCATGCTTTAGACATTTATACAGATTAGAAATTACAGAGTGACTGAGATCTGGAAATAGGGGCAAATGCTGATGAGTGTGGTTCAGTGAGTTAACCCTGTGGTTCCCTAAGGCAGGTTTTGTTTTCTTTTTTGGAGACAGGATCTCACTTTGTCACCCAAGGCTGGAGTGCAGTGATGCAATCTTGGCTCACTGCAGCCTTGACCTCCTGAGCTCAAGCGATCCTCCCACCTCAGCTCCCCCACCCCCAAGTAACTGGGACTTACAGGCATGTGCCACCATGCCTGGCTAATTTTTTTGTAGAGACGTGTGTTGCACAGGCTGGTCTCAAACTCCTGAGCTCAGGTGATTCTCCTGCCTCAGCCTCCCAAAGTACTAGGAGTACAGGCATAAGCCACCGAGCCCAGCGTAGTAACGCAGTTTAATGCTACGTGCAAAAGTCTTAACAGGGTGAACGAACACGTACCTGTGATTCGTCTCTTAATGTTCACTGACCAACCTGAAACTTCAGCGTACCCCATGAGACAAACTATTTTAAAATTTTGCTTCCAGGATTTCTAATTTCCAGATGCAGGTGATATATAGAGATATTAGGTATATATGTAACAGTTGTCACATCCAAGTTTTGAATTCAGAAACGTTTATTTTCTTTGAACCCCCACAGCCAGCTCGTCTTGAGGCATCACAATTTAAAACTGTTGCAGTTCAGTTAAAACCAACGCCATCTAGTGGTGTGTGTGCGCAGCAAGTCAAATGTCAAGCATGGGTTTTGTAGTAGAAATTATCTTTAGGTCTTGCTAAAAAAAATTATGTTTCAAGTTTGCCTTTTTTAACTGCTAAAAAGGGCAGCCACTAAAAACTAGGACTCCAAAACTGTATTTTTAGTTCTTCCATCAAAATCTTACAAAGAGCTTCAGTATGCAAAGTATTTTTTGCAGTTAAATCTGTGCATTACAAAATGTCTCTGGATGGATTCACAAGAAACTGATAACGTTGCTGCCTGCCTTTGGGGAGAGGACTGAGGAGCAAGATTTTTTTCACTGTACAGTTGTAGAATTCTTATGTGTATGACCGTATTGAATTGTTTAAATATAAACATGTTACTAAAGTTTTTCTTACACAGGTCATGAATGAAAAACTTCAACACTGCATGGAACTAACAGATCTAATGCGGAATCACCTGAATGAGAAGAGGGCACTCCGCTTGGAGTGGATGATTGTCATCCTCATTACCATAGAGGTAAGATGGAAATGCTGTGTACCGTAATGTTCCCCTCTTCACAAATACCGGGGCTATGCTAATAAGATAGTTTGAGATAGAAAATTATTAGCAGGAAGAGGCTTTGTTACCATTACTATTTGGAAGTTTCAAATGATTGTTATTTTGCAAATGCACCGATAGTAAATTTTGAAAAGGTTCCACTTTTTAAAATGTTAGAGTAGACCTCAAGGTTCTACATTTTTAAAGACAGCATTTGGAGAAAGTTCTAGTTGTAAATTTATAATATACAGCCCAACATCAAGTCAAACACCTGTGCCTCCAGTTCATAGCCTGCCATGTATTTACCTTATCAGGAACTCAAGTATTTACCTTATCAGGAACATTTCTCATTGGAAGTCATTGTAGTTTGTACCCATAATTTGCCTGTCATGAAATTAGTAATTCTCACTTTTTATCCTAAGGTAATGTTTGAGCTGGGACGAGTATTTTTCTGATCAAGTGAAACCAAAGTGTCACTGCAAGAGATGAATTCAAGTTCTACAATCAAAAAATAAATGTTTGACCAGGTGCAGCAGTTCATGCCTGTAATCCCAGCACTTTGGGAGGACGAGGCAGGTGGATCATTTTAAGTCAGTTCAAGACAAGCCTGGCCAACACGGTGAAACCCCGTCTCTACTAAAAATACAACAAAAAAAAAATAGGCACGCCCGTGACCTCAACTACTCAGGAGGCTGAAAAATCTCTTGAACCCAGGAGGAAGAGGTTGGAGTGAGTTGAGATCACGCCACTGCACTCCAGCCTGGGTGACAGAGCGAGACTGTCTCAAAAGTAAAAAATAAACGTATGTTCACTACTCGATCACTTATTTAATAAGCATTTTTTAAATCAAGAAATTGTTTCAGCCCCCGATATATTGTGAATAAAATATGAAGAATCTCGTGTTTGCTTCTACATCACTGACAATTCAAAAAGGAAAATATTTCAGTTAAGAACTTTGGAAAACCTTAGCATCTAGAAATCTTGGTAAATCTTAGCAGACGCTTCTTAAAGCCAAAGGGCTTAGATTTTAGACCACATCTTAACCTATCCCCAAGGAACAGGTTAATGGCCCTGGCTAAGAGAACCATACAGGAACTCAAGTGTTGACATCAATATATAAAATAAGACAGGCTTCTGATGGCAGAAATGAATCTTAAATACCTATTTTAGATGGTATGATTTGACTATGGCTGTTCACTGGCACCTTTTGTCAGTCAATGCTTTTTCCTTTCACCAAGTCAGTCACAATATTCTTCCCACAGACGTTTGTTTCACACGTATTCTGGGGAAATTTAAAAAATAACAAGCACAAAGAATCTAAATATCTATGTATTTACCTCCTTGGGTTGACAGTATTTTTTTAAAAATCAACTCTTTATCTACATTGCCTTATTTATAAGCATAACCGCCCATGCCCCACTACTACAGTCCTAGCCAACTCTTTTTCAGGCATATCCTTTCGTTTTGCAACTCACTTAACTGCTACAGTGTTATACCAAAAGAGTACATTCATCTGTACTAACTGATGGACACATATTTGCAATAACAGTGCTAAGATAAACATGTTATCTTCCGGCAAGAGTTCTTCAGTAGCTGTCTTCCATTTGAAGTACCTGTATGCCAAGAGTACCCAAAAAAACTCCAAGGAGAATATAGGTATAGATTTGCTTTCTAGGATGGGCACGGTGCCTCACACCTGTAATCCCGGCACTTTGGGAGGCCAGGGTGGGAGCACTGCTTGAGCCCTGTGACACACTCAAAATAATTTAAAAACTGCTTTCTAGATCAAGTTCCTTCTGATTTTCATAAAATTAACAAACTTGGTACACACCTGCAGTGTATCCTGTTCTTCCCATCTTCCCTTATCACACTTACACAAGACAGACAACTCTCACCCATCCTCAATACTTTGGTCCACTATATTCAATAACCTTTAAAAATACATTAAACCTATGTTTCAACATTTTTGGGGAACCACACAAAAGGACAATTTGAAAGATTGGTAAATGCAAACTTTAATTGAAGCCATTATGTCTTCTCCCATTTTTTAGGAAATACACTTCCAATAAAATTTTACTCCAAGTGTCAATTTATACAATTTGCTGTTCTGATCAACTAATTAGTAGAAACAATGTGAAATAATCCAGAAAACACCATGAACATTTGGTGCCTTATGGCTACAGTATATTAAACATTTCAAGTTATATAAAAAACTTACAAGAAATGAAAAGATTATCAAGAGATTCATAAACATTTATTAGCATAAAGTTTTGTAGAGGAAATGTATCACAAATACATTTTCAAGAGGAAAAACATTTGCATAGTTCGCCTATGTTTAAATGGATTATAGTGGACATTAGCTCAATACACTATTACAATGCACTAAATTACAAAGGTTTTTCTTAAAAGTGATAAAACAGCTTATTTTAAAATACCAGTATTTACAATACGCTGGCAATTACATCTTTTTCAACTAATTTTATGATGTAAAACTTCAACTTAGGAAAGTTTAAAGAATTGTTTTAGTTGTAATGTAAGTAAAAACTTACTTTCAGGCCGGGCACAGTGGCTCACACCTGTCATCCCAGCACTTTGGGAGACTGAGGCGGGCATATCATCTTAGGTCAAGAGTTCAAAACTAGCCTGACCAATATAGTGAAACCCTGTCTTTAAAAAAAAAAAAGTACTTTCTTTTACTTAATAAAGTAAAAACTTTATTAAGATCACCACCTCTCTAAGAACAAAATGACCAACAAATTACACAGTATGTAAAGCCTAAAGTAAGTACATTCACCACTGGCTCCCAAAGTTATCAGAGTGGTATCTAATTTCTATCACAGGAGGGCTCACTGATTAAGACCAGTATGGATTTGAATTCTTGCTTCACCACTAATTCTTGCTGTTACAACCTTGGGCAAATCACTCAACCTCTTCGGCCTCACTTTCCTCATCTGTGAAGTAGGTTTAATTAAACTATCTCATAGGTTACTGTGAGGATTAATGGAGTATCTGTGAACAGGAGAATTTATTATTAACCTATCTCAGAGTTACTGTGAGGATTAACTCTCAGATGAAATGGAAGCTGAATCAAATTCCCAGGATCCATCTTTGAATCTTTAAGAAACATCATAGACCAGGCGCAGTGGCTCACACCTGTAATCCCAGCACTTTGGGAGACCGAGGTGGGTGGATCACGAGGTCAGGAGTTCAAAAGCAGCCTGGACAAGATGGTGACACCCCATCTCTACTAAAAATAAAAAAATTAGCCAGGCGTGGTGGTGGGCGCCTGTAATCCAGGGCTACTCAGGAGGCTGACGTGAGCTGAGACTGCACCACTACACTCCAGCCTGGTCAATAGAGCGAGACTCCATCTCAAAAAAGAAACATCGTAACTCAGACTTTGGAATACAAGGGTCAATTTAAATATAATGCAATCTTTTCACTGTATAAAATGGGTTGGCTCCTCAGTGCAAGCCCACAAAGGCTTTTTTAAACTACACATTTCTGCATATACCAGACAGCAGCAGCCAACAGTTTTTCTGGGGTGCCTTCTTGGATAACCACAGCAGTCAGAAGCAGACTTCTTTTTAAATACATAAAATCAGTATCTTTCTAGTTTTATCATCTTAAAAACAAACTATATTTGTCTATTTGAAATAACTGTCCTGTCTTTCTACTACCTAAAGCAGTTTTTCCAAAGCATCGTCCTCAGACCAACTGCATCAGCAAATACTCCAGACTGTCCATTAATACTACTGACTCCTGAGTTCTACACCACAGTAAATCAGAATGTCTGGGGCTGCAGATAGGAAACATGTTTTTTCTAACTCTTGGGGAGACTCTTAGGTGCTCACTAAACTCTTAAGCAGCACTAACTTAGAATCTATGTATTGGTTTATACTCAGGTTACAGATTTTAAATCATTCATTAGCACTCTTGCTTACTAAGTACTAATCTCAAGTGACTCAGTTCTCCTCTTTCGCCAAACCAATTTCCTCAGACCCTGCTCTATGGAGAGGGAGGGAGAGGGAGAGGGGAAGAGGGAGGGAGAGGGACAGGGAGAGGGGAAGAGGGAGGGAGAGGGACAGGGAGAGGGGGAGGGAAACACCAGGAGAGGGTGATGTGGATCAAAAGTAGAGATAATTTTTCCAAATCCAAATCTACTCTCACTTTCAGCTCTCTCCTCTGGTTCTGAATTGCCATTTTTAAGGAAGGTTTAATGTCACCATACTAAATTCCCTTCCCTTAAAAGAGGGTTAATGAAACAAAAATTTTTAAAGACCACATTTTCACTTCCTCTGTGAAACAAAACGTGGACTTTTAAATGTTTTAAAAACAAAAACTTTCCACATCTCCTAGACTGTTAAAATAATCTGGAAAGCATGCAGCACTCTAAAACCTACTCATTCTTTTTTTCATCCAATTTCATATTTATTTACTAGAAATTAAAATGCACTACTCTAAGCTCTAAGACACAGCGGTTAAGATGCCACATAGGGCCCCTGGCTTTCAAGAAGCTTACATTCCAATGAAGGCAGCAGGAAAACAATCTGCTTATAGACAGATGCTCTATAAAGAAATCTGTAAGAGGCAGGTGGTGTGAAAAGTCAGGAAAATGGAGCAGACTAGTGAAGTTAAAATCTACTTGAGGTTTAGAGGTCAGTTGATTTTAAAAACTGAAAACAGAAGACCCTCTGGTTAAGTGGAAACTTGACTTTCAATCCAGCTTTTTCACACAAGGCTTGGGAAGCTGCTTACTCTAACAATTTTTTTTTTTAATTGCTAATTTAAAAGGATTAACTTGAGTGCCTCTAGGAATCATCAAATTAAAACTAACCAAAATTAATTCCAATAAAATCTAACCCTCTAGCCACAAAACTTTAAATTCAAGGTGTTGATCTTAATTTTAAAAACCTCACATGGTTAGGGTTCTGGTTACCTTAAAGATTTTTGACTCTTAAGCACACTGACGGCAATTTAAGATTAGCTGAAATACTTGGCCGATGGTTCACTACTGAAACCTGATGAACTGGAATCCTCTGATTTTGTGTCTCTTTTCAGATAGGGAAAAGAGTCCTAGCAATCATGCTAAGTCTGACTGGGACCAAAGGGTTTCTTAGGAGCAGCCAGACTTCCGCTGCTAATACTGGGCAAGTCCTGGGCAAACCAGGACTGATCACACTATCTTTGGGGTTGCATTTTAGAAACTGATATTTAAACAGTCACTTTTTCAACTCTGGACTTCGCTGCAACTCTACAGATCTTTAATATGGATCAACTACTAAAAACAAGAACGTTCCCTTCCAATGATCAAAATGACAATTTTCATAAAGGGTGTTAATTTCACACACAGTTTTTATCAATCAGGTGGAAGTAGTAATTCTCCCTATAAATTTTATCATTTTACTTTTAAACATAAAAATCTTGAGCCAAACACTACTTTAAGAACTGTTTAAGAATTCAGATTCACATTTCTTTTAAGAAATAATGCTTCAAAATTACAATGTGTTTTTTTTGTTTTTTTTTTGATGTCTTTAAAGATCGGTTTTGAAATACTGATAGATTTAACAACTTGGACAAATCACTCTCAATCTGGCTGAGTAAAAGAAGCCAGTCTGCAAAGGCTACAGACTATATGATTCCATTTATGTAACATGCTAGAAAAGGTACAACTAAAGCCAGGTGCAGTGGCTCACTCATGTAATACCATCACTTTGGGAGGTCAGGGCACGCAGATCACAAGGTCAGGAGTTCGAAACCAGCCTGGCCAACATGGTGAAACCCAATCTCCACTAAAAATACAAAAAATTAGCCAGGCGAGGTGGCACATCTGGAGGCTGAGGCAGGGAGGCCAGGGAAGAATAATCGCTTAAACCCAGGAGGAAGAGTGAGCTAAGATGACGCCACTGCATGCCAGCCTGGCCAACAAAGCAAGACTCCACTTGAGAAAAAAAAAAAAGTAAAACTACAGTGATTGACAACGGATCATTCATAGCTAGGGGATGGGGTGGAAGCAGCACAGGTCTATAAAAAGACAGCAAAATAAAGTGATAGACCTGGCCTATATTCTCATGATGGTGACTAGACAAATACTATGTTAAAATTCACAGAACTGTATACTGAAAAAACAAAAAAGTCACTTTTACTATATAATTCTAATTTTTTTAAATCAGTGATTATTTCAAAATATATCATTTACTGAGGTACTGTGCTATGCCCCCCTCCATATACTGTTTTATTTTCTACTCACCCGATGCTAGGAGGTAGTAATTATTATCCCTATTTGAGGAAAAGGAAAACTTGTGGCTCTGAGGTTAAGTAACATGCCCAAGCCATACAGTCTAAGGGATGGACCATAATTCTAACACAGATCTGATTCCAAAGGCTATATTCTCAACCACTACAAACCACTACTCTCTCCCCCGACTGTTCATAAATAACCAACCACTCTGTCCCTCCTAATGACATTATTAGGAGGCTATTAAGTTTCCTAATTCTATTCTGAACTCAATACGTTACTGATAACGTGAAAACAGGGAGAGAAACATGATTCTAGAGCAGTGATGTCCAACTGAACTTTTCTCCAATAGTAGAAATGTTTTGTAACAGGGAGAGAAACATGATTCTAGAGAGCAATGATGTCCAACTGAACTTTTCTCCAATAATAGAAATGTTTTGTATTATCTGTGCTGTCCAATATGGTAGCCTCTAGCAATAGGTGGCTACTCAGCACACATTACTAGTGTGACATTAATTGGACAGCACAGTTCTAGAGAAATAACATGACAAGAATATACATGCCACAGAAAGAAGCAATTTATTAAATTATGATGGTAACTCACCAACAATAAAAGGAAAACAAAGGAGACATATAATAAAGGAATGAAGCTAAGAAATGCCCCAGCCCCCCAAGCACATCACAAAACTAAGTCTATCTTTTAAACACCTGCTCACCCTCCAAGATTCAGCTTAAATATCAACCTTATCTACACACCCACAGCACTCTGCACATCTGCAGTATAAATTGTGTATTAGATATCTGTGTTTTTCTCCCCCACTTGACTGTGAGCACCTGAAGAGCAAAGATTCATATATGCATCACCAGCATCTAATGCCTATCCCCAGATGCTTTCTGGAACAATCAACAGTTTTTTCATTCAGTTGTAGTAGGAAAATGATCACTGTCTTAGGTCCTTTAACTACAAATTCAATTCTGCAAGCATTCAAGCACCAGAGTACATATAAAAAGAACTCCCGTCCCTCAAACAGCTTACAGTCAGAGTGAGGGATACAAGATATAGGTAGACAAAAGGGGGAAACAGGGGAGGGGCAGCGGCGGGTGGGGAGTTGGGGAAGGATTAACATGGGGAGAAATGTCACATATAGGTGATGGGGAGGAAGGCAGCAAACCACATTGCCATGTATGTACCTATGCAACAATTCACATGTACCCCAAAACCTAAAACGCAATAAAATATATATTAAAAAAAAAAAGATATAGGTAGACAAATAACAAGTAGAAAGGGTAATCAGGCTGGACACAGTGGCTCACGCCTATAATCCTACCACTTTGGGAGGCCAAGGCTGGCGGATCACGAGGTCAGGAGTTCAACACCAGCCTGGCTAACATGGTGAAACCCCATCTCTACTAAAACACACAAAAAATTAGCCAGGCGTGATGGCACGCGCCTGTAGTTTCAGCTGCTCAGGGAGGCTGAGGCAGGAGAATCGCTTGAACCTGAGAGGTGGAGGTTGCAGTGAACCAAGACCATGCCACTGCACTCCAGCCTGGGCGACAGAACAAGACTCTGGCTCAAAAAAATAAAGTGTAGGGGTAATCAAAGTAAGTGTGTACAAATAGGGCTTTAAGTCAGAATAGAAAGAATCAGAGTGGTAAGAGAAAATTGAAAAGAGGTTTAAGTAGCCATTATCCCATTCTGTAAAGCAAAAGGTGTAAGATAACTTATTGTATCCCAACCTATTATTCAGAAAAGCCTAATGGATTAAAAAACATTTTTAAGTAGGTCTTTAGAAATTTATCCTGCCTTCGCTCACACTACCAACGTCAGGTCCATCCTATTCCTCCTATCACTAAGCTGAAACTAGTCTTAGAACAAAATCCTTCCAGATCCAAAATTGCTAAGAAAGAACACTTAAATTCTGACCATCTTTAAGTCACAACATCCTCTTTTGAGTCTCAAAATGTGATAACTAGAATTAGTTTGCATAGTACATCTCATGGTGAGTACACAGACAGCATCTGCAATGGTCTATTGAAAGTAGTTTGAATTCATTTAATGAGTACCTTTGCTTTTTCCTCTAAAAATCAACAAGAGGTGTGCCAGTATGAGGAATCTAGACACCAAGCATTATCTGTAAAGTATATTATCATACAGAGTTCTGCAAACTGGAAGAATGGCAAAGAGTTCTACAGTATAATTTCTTTTGAAAAAAAATTTACCAACCAATTTTCTTATTTTTATCAGCTTACATATTATTAATGAGAAAGGTCACAGAGAAAATTTGTGAGGTTTTCCTAGACTGAATGACCTTGGGCTGCTTAATTACTCAAATTCTTTGAGCCTGCTTCCTCAATGCCTTCAGAGAAAAAAAACTGACTTAATTAACTAAGATAATTACTTACAGATTGACTTCAGCATGGCTTTTGGTTCAATCCGAACTCACCTATAAAATGGAAAAACAGAGGCCAGGCGCGGTGGCTCACGCCTATGATCCCAGCACTTTGGGAAGCCGAGGCGGGTGGATCACAAGGTCAAGAGATCGAGACCATCCTGGTCAAAAAGGTGAAACCCCGTCTCTACCAAAAATACAAAAATTAGCTGGGCATGGTGGTGCGCGCCTGTAGTCCCAGCTACTCGGGAGGCTGAGGCAGGAGAATTGCTTGAACCCAGAAGGCGGAGGTTGTGGTGAGCTGAGATCGTGCCATTGCACTCCAGTCTGGCTAACAACAGCGAAACCCCGTCTCAAAAAATAATAAATAATAAAATAAAATAAAATGGAAAAACAGGCCAGGCACAGTGGCTCACACCTTTAATCCCAGCACTTTGTGAGGCCAAGTCAGGTGGATCACTGAGGTAGAGTTCGAGACCAGCCTGGCCAACATAGAGGAACCCCGTCACCACTAAAAATACAAAATTATCCAGGCATGGTGGTGGGCGCATGTAATCCCAGTTACTCGGGAGGCTGAGGCAGGACCTAGGAGGCTTGAACCTAGGAGGCAGAGGCTGCAGTGAGCTGAGATCACGCTGATGCACTCCAGCCTGGGCGACAGATCGAGACTTCATCTCTAAATAAATAAATAATAAAAGTGTAAAAACATGTAACTGTGGCTGCCATTAAACTATGTCCATAATTCTTTGATATTCATCCCTTAAGTTTGGGCTGGACTTAAGTGACTTGTTTTTAATAGAATACGGCATAAGTGATGATGTGTGGCTTCCTCTCTGCTCTTGCTTGAATCACCTGCTCTGGGAGTAGCCAGCCTCCGCCATGTTGTGAGGACACTCAAGCAGTCCAATGGAGAACTTTCATCATCAGCCATAGGTGACCTGCCAAATGAGAGCCACCTTGGAACCCCATGAAAAACTCTGACCCAGAACCGCCTAACTAAGCTACTCCGAGATTCCTGACCCACAGAAATCACATGAGAAAACACACGTTTATTGTTTTAAACCACTGAGTTTTGGGTTAATTTGTAACACCAAGAGAATACACCAGTGTTTTTTAAACAGTGGGTCCTGACTTATTAGTAGTTGAATAAATCAATTTAAGGCAGAAATATCAACTTAAAATAATGAAATAGAAGATAGCATGGTATATCACTCTTAATACAAGTACTATTTCCTAAAAATTTTGTTAAATTAAAATGTTTCTTACAAGCACAACTGAAAACATTAAAACCCACAACTCTAACAAGTAAATATAAAACGAAAAGCTCCCTAGAGCATAGGAAATCCCTTGAGGGACTCGTCTCAGTAACAACCAACTATAAAACAAGCATTTTCTATAAACTTTATGACCAAACCAACCATGTAAGACACCCTCACACTACATCTTTTCTGATGTATATGCTAAGTTTCATAACACACAGGACATGGTATCTACCCTAGATTTTAACATCTAACACACAAAAGCACATCATTCTCCTAATTTAAGAAGTTACTCAACAGGACTGCCTTCATAAAATTAGTGAAAAATGCTGCTTTGGACCCAAAGCACCTTTATTATTTTTTTCTACTACTACTTTTCTTGTCAATGTTAAAGGAAATTCCATCTTCAACCTAAGCGCACACACTCACACAATAGATCAAGTACAGTCTTATTAAATTGTTTTCTGCTCACTGTCCAACTCTCATTACATAGAGGTCTGCAAATTGGAAGACAGCAAACAGTTCTACAGTTTAAATTCTTTAAAAATAATTTACCAGTCTTCTTCAGAACACAAGCAAGTGTGTATTTTTGTGGCTGTGTCTCAGCGGAACACAAATCAAAACTTTCAGCAACACCGGACTCTGCAGAATATTCATGTATAACTTTTGATGAATCCACTCAGACTGCCTGCACTGTAATTTTCTTTGAAGTAGAAAGTGTTACAAACTATTTTTGAATTCCTAATTTACCAGATTTTCAAAATACCAAAATAAATTGGCACATAATTAAACAGCCATTTAACTCTTTTTCTTCTTAGAGACAGGATCTCACTCTGTTGCCCAGACTAGGGTACAGTGGTGCGATCATGGCTCACTGCAAAACTAATTTTTTTTTCTTTTTTAATAGATGTAGTCTCCTTATATTGCTCTGGCCGATCTGGAACTCCTGGGCTCAAGAGATCCTTCAGAAAGTCCTGGGATTACAAGTGTGAGCCACCATGCCCAGACTTATTTTATTTATTTATTTTTTTTTTTGAGACAGAGTCTCACTCTAACACTGCTGCCCAGACTGGAGTGCAGTGGCGAGATCTCGGCTGGCTGCAATCTCCGCCTCCCAGGTTTAAGTGATTCTCCTGCCTTAACCTCCAGAGTAGCTGGGATGACAAGCGCCCACCACCACACCCAGCTAATTTTTTGTATTTTTAGTAGGGACAGGGTTTCACCATGTAGCGCAGGCTGGTCTTCTTGAACTCCTGACCTCATGATACGCCTGCCTCCGCCTCCCAAAGTGTTGGGATTACAGGCGTGAGTCACCGCACCCGGCCTATTTTTCTTATTACTGTACTAGGGACCTTTGCGGCTCTCCCAAAACGAGACTTACTAGACAACTGACGCTTTCCTTGGCCCTATCCTGAAATACACTAGCTCTTCTCTGCTAGGACTACTGTTTTCTCCTCAACCTTTGCAGATTTATTTATCCATCTAAATGCTTCTATTTCAACAAGCTGTAGAAAACACACGGTCTGTATAGCTCTCGTCATAACGCTATTAGTTGATGATTGTGACTACAAGTTGGAATAATCTGCATACTTGGCAAAATTCAAGTGTGGCTGCATATGCCTTGAGAGAATAAGCAGGAAACAGCCCAGTCCTAAATTCCAGTAGCAGCTCTTGAAGAGAATAGATGCTCTTGATAAGACTTTCTTTAGGACTGGTACTCAGTTTCTGGGCTTACCCCTGGGTTTATTTCTATAAGCAAACCTACATAAAGAGTGCAGCACTAGGAAATATTCAGTGATCTTAAAAATAAGCATAGTTACTTTGACTCAAGACCAATTACTATACACATAGGCAAATTTCTGCCCAATAGTCTCAAGTTTAGCATTAGTTTTGCCCACTTTTCCTTTCTTTCTTAAAACAGTTTCATTCTTCACATGACCACTTCCACCGACATAAGGTTGAAAATTTTCAAAGTCCAAAAGAATTAAGAACTTACAGATCTCTAATTATGATTCTCTACAAAACAACCAAAATCATTTTAGTCCCCTAATATGATGAGACAGACCTCATTCAATACTCAAGTCAATCCAAGGAACCAGGAATGCCTATCTGAAGGCTACCTTTGATGTTTCTGTGATAGCGGTGCACTGGGATACCATTTAGATCAGGGTCAGAATTTGGTTTTGTAGACAGACATTTACTCACTAAAGTCATTTGTCTAGCTGATCAAAAAAACAGGAAAGTTCAAGGCAAGTATACACTGAATCTACCAGTGAAGCTATACAGCTGCTTATTTTGTCTTCAAAGAAGGAATTAGTCATCAGTACCTGCAGGTATAACTGGATTGCTAAATCAAACTCAGGTTTTTAGGAGGGGACACTTCTACGTATTAAATTGTCTTAAGAGAGTAAGCCTCCCTTAAATGATTTGTAAACTATGTGCCAGACATTCAACCAGACTCGGTTAGATATCATAACCAGGTTAGCATGTCTTGAAAGGAGAGTATCCTCGAAACTACTGCCTCCATTTCCTTAGGAATAAAGCCATATCCATATCCTTCCCAAATCTCAAAAAACTCCTACATGTGTAAAATAAAGAAATCATTAAATTGTAGTCCTCAAAGAACTAAACTGTACTTCCCCAAAAAAGACATGAATCCTAGAAAAATGGCAACAACCAAAAAGTAAACGTCAAAATGTTTAAAATGACCATCAGGAAATTCTAACTTCCCTGCCATGTTTGCATGTTTCAGGATCTCCCCGTTAAAAGATGTTCCATACCTCTAACAGAATAGCCAACTCTGGAATCCACACCTCAAACACCAAAACCTAACAGGAGAATAAATTCTTAACATGCATTACAGACTTTCATTTTTGGGGGAGACCAAAACTTCAAAAACGAAAACCCAGTTGCTGAAACAACCATCTAATTCAACCCTGACAGAAATATCTGACATCACTCAACTAGTTTGTCACCACTGGTGACAAAAAGATACTGGTGGTTTACAGTATCTCCCCGGTTCTGAAGGCCACTCCATTTCAAGATTAAAAGTGAAACACGGAAAGTCGAGGGACAAAGGTAAGGGCCAAAAGATCTCAAGCAAAAGCCAGCAGAATGCGAGCAGCGGCTCTCCTTCCGTACGGCGAACACCTCAATGACTTGTCCTACCTAAATACTTTATGTAAACAAGGGGCTTGTGACTCAGGCCTCCAGCCCCAATAGGTGGAGAGAAGTTTCCTCGCCTCGCCTGCACATGGTCTGCAGAAGTTTGGCTGGAGCAGAGCGCGGAGCCTGGGTGGGAGCGGCAGTGGAGTGCTGCAGGCGGCGGCGGCGGCGGCGGCGGCAGAGCAGCAGGAGGCGGAGGCGGGCGGGGGGAGGGGAGCGGCTGGGGGGGGCGGAGGGGGCTCTTGCCGCCACTGCTCTCTCGCCGCCTCTCCCCCCCGGCGGGAGCCGCTCGCAGCCTCTTTGCACTAGTCTCTCCGCTCTCTCGGTCATGTGACCTTAACGTAACCGGACAGGAAAAGCCCCGCCGCCGCCGCCGCCGCCGCGCCGGAGACACCGACCGCGGCGGCAGCAGCAGCAGCAGCAGCGAGAGGTAGAGGCGGCGGCGGCGGGGAGGACAGTACGGCCGAGGCTGCCCAGCGGCGCCTCCTCCACACCCCCCGCCGCAGCAGCACCGGCGACAGGTAAGCGCGCACCGCCTCCGCCTACCGGGGCCGGTGCCCACGTGCCACCCCCGGCCCCGGCTCCGGGAAGGCGGGGGGGGGCGGGGGCCACCGGAGCTCGCAAACGGTTCCGACAGCGGCGGTGGCAACAAAGACGACGAATGACCCGCGTCCCAGAGCTCCAGGTGCAGGCAGGCGGAGGGCCTGGGCCACTCGGGAACCCGGTTCTGGGAAGCGAGGGCAGGGGCGCCTCGTGGGGGCGGCGGCGGCTGCGCCTGGCGCCCGGGCTCTGGCCGCCTGACAAAACCATCCCCCGGAGCCAGGCGGCGGCGAGTCGGCGGCGGCTCCATCCGGGGCCTTGCGGGAGGGGGAGGGGACGGAAGCCGAGAGGGCGGGCGGCGGATCGGAGGGAGGGAGGGAGGAAGGGGAGGGGGGCGATTCGCGTTCCGTTCCCCGTGGCCGGTCCCTCCCTTCCCGCCGCCACCGCGAAGTGCGTCCCAGGCGGCGGCGGCCGGTGAGCGTCCCGCGCTGGAGTCCTGGGAGGCGGGCCCGTCAGGTGCGTAATCCTTCCGACGCCTCGCCGCCGCCTCCTGCTGCTACCACCGCTGCTGCTTCGGCGGCAAGGCCGCGAGCTGCGGAAGTGGGTTTGGGGGAGGGGAGGGAGAAGGGAGGGGGAGGGGAGGGATCCGGTCCGACCGGAGCAGGCCCGGCCTCTCTGGCGCTTCTCCCAGCTGCAGCGGCTCCTACAGCTGCTGCCGCTACTGCTGCGGCTCCGCCTCCCGCTCGCGGGCGGGGGCGCGCACGCGCGCTTCCGGCCTCCTCGGGTCTCGCGCTGTCTCCGGCTCTCGCGCGCGCTCATCCTCTCTCCCTGTCTGGGCCACCCCCGCCCCCGGCGCCGGGCTGTTGCGCCGGCGGGGCGTTGCGCACGGCGTAGGCGTCGGCATTGTGTTAAACTCCGCGGGACTTGGGGCGAGCGCGCGCGCGCACGCGGGACTCATGGAAGCGGCGAGCGTGCGGCGCGGCCGGAGTGCGTCGCCCCTCCCTCCCCTCAGCCCCTTGGGGACGAGGACGGGGACGGGGACGGGGGCGGGGCCGGCAAGACCGGAGGGGCCCAGAGGGCCCCGGAGCCGCGCCCCGCCCCTGCCCCTGGCCGGGCCCACGCCCCCTGGGGCGGGTGGGGCGTTGTGGCCGTTGCGGCGAGCTGGGGCGGGCAGGGGACGTGTCGGCGTCTGTGGCGCCGCCCTTGTCGCCCGCTCGCTGCGGCTGCAGCCCGGGCCCCAGGCCGGGGTGCTGAGCGCGTTGAGCCGGCGGCCTGGAGCTTCCGCCCGACGGGCGATCTGCGCCTGCGATAAGGCCCGGGCTGGCCGGGAGCGCGCTGTGGTTTCGGCTGCTTAGCCTCGGGGCGTGGGACTGCGCGGCCCTCACGCCTCGGCCCGGCAGGCAGCCTCTCCGAGTCGGCGTCGTTTTCTCGGTGCAGCAAAACCCTTAAACTATTCTTGTTTAAACAAAGCCGCCAGAGAGAACTGTTTAGCCAGAAGCTGCAAAGGAAGTTGGGTTTATGCTGCTTTTAGCTGGTAGTAAAAAAGGCAATAAAGAAGCCAGGGTAGCCGAGCAGGCGAGTGCCCGGGCCGGGGGAAGATGCAGCCACGCCTTTTACTGCAGGAACTTACACCCGAAGACACGAATTCCTAATTATGCCTTGGGAATATAACCCAGCTCTCGCTTCCCGCCCCCACCAGCGCATTGTTCATTAGCTCTTTCATCATACAGTGGGCCCACTGAGTTTGTGAGTCTTGATTCTATTCATTTTCGCAGGGTATTGTTTTAGTAAAATAAAGCGTAAAGGAGGTCAGAATTACCAGAAATCCAGGGGGCTCTGGGTTTACAGAAACGTGCTGCCTTGTCCTTGCTAATGTGGAGTATCTATACAGACCTTGTTGCAGCGCCAGGGCGAGATGTGCGCACTAAGCGTTTTAGTGTGAGAGCCCCCTGAAAGTTACGGAACTGGAAGTATGCTATTTTAATTCTCATTTGTCTAATCTGTCACAAACCAAAATTAAATTGGTAAGGCAAATTTCACTGCATTCTGAATGATTTTGTTGTGTATCCAGGATGTTTTCAAACTGTTTTGGGTTTTGTTTTTGTTGAGACGGGGTCTCACTCTGTCACCAGGCTGGAGTGCAGTGGCGTGATCTCGGCGCACGGTAGCCTCCGCCTGCCAGGTTCAAGCGATTCTCCTGCCTCAGCCTCCTGAGTAGCTGGGATTACAGGCGTACGCCACTACACCCGGCTAATTTTTGTATCTTTTTTTTTTTTTTAATTACTTCATAGCTTTTTTAATTTTTGTATCTTTAGTAGAGACGAGGTTTCACCGTGTTGGTTAGGCTCGTGATCCGCCCACCTCAGTCTCCCAAAGTGCTGGAGTTACAGGTGTGAGCCATCACACCTGGCCAAAAAGGTTAATTTTTAAGAGCATTAATTTACCACTAGTAGTACATCCTCTTAAACTGGGCGTTTCTCATTTAATAAACGTGGTTTATTTGCTAGACAAAGAATTGGTCAGTTATTGAAGTACAAGTAGAAGAAGTGATATGCCGGGTCCTCTGATAAGTCAACAGTGAAGGAGTCGTCTACACTGCAGTGGAGTGTAGCAGTCCAAGTGCGCACTTGCCAGTTTTCAAGCTTCTCTGCAAAGGGGATGCTCAGCAAACTACCACCAGCAGTAGAGAATAAATACTAAGCATGTTTTCAGTTACAGAATAAAAGCTGCCACGGTGACACCTACTTTTTTATCTTAAACTTTAATGTGAACTTTTCAGTAACCTCCAAAATCTGCACTTTTTAGAAAAATGTGTTCATGGCCAGGCACAGTGGCACACACCTATAATCCCAGCACATTGGGAGGCCAAGGCTGAAGGATTGCTTGAAGCCAAGAGTTCAAGACCAACCTGGGTAACATAGACCCCCATCTCTATTTAAAAAAAAAAAAGAAAATGTATTCACCCTAACCCTATGAAAAGATGTACTTTGTAATCCTGTGATTTGACGTTCACATGGCATGTCCCAGAGTAAGTGGATATGCTTTCCCCAATTTGAGAATTACCAAAATAGAGAAGGAAACATCTAAAGCTCATCTGCAGCATTGGCCTGAGATCAGCTGCTTTAGAGGTGGCCACTGTCCTGCCAGCTCTGATTGTTTCTTTGAGCTTCATCCCTACCCCCACTAACCTTTCCCTGCAGGAATTTGGAAAAGCTGGGCAAGTCTTGTGGCACCAGGCTGCACAGGAAAGGAAGATTGAAAGAACTGGTTTGCTGGTGATTTTTTACCGTAAAATACCAGATGGAAGAGGTCATTTATCAGCACTTTTCCTATTTTTCTATGCTCTTTGAGTCTCCAAACATGACCCTGAAAACCTAAAATGGAGCTGAACATTTTTATTTCCCTGAAGAAAACAAAATGTAAACATTCTAAACCTCAGACTGAGAATATTTCTAAAGCCTTCTTTATGTTCAAGTAGATTATAATTTTTACTAGCAAATTAAACTATTAAATAATTAAAATACTACTTTGAATTGATAGCAGATAAGATTCAGTATTTTTACAATGCTGATAGAGCCATTCAGATACGGAATCAGTAGCCATAGAACCCTTGCAAGGAGTTGGCAGCCCAAGACATGTAGATCCATTTTAGGAGCCAGTTTGGAGGCTCGTATTTATGCCCAAACTCATAATCCCCGGTTCACATGCTTGAGGTGTATACATCACATGCCTTTGAGTGTCACTTTAAGAAAGTTCAGTGTTCAAAGGTAGGGAATTTGAAAAACACTTCTATGTATCTGGCTAAATATTTAGGGAAACGACTTTTTTACTTTTGTAAGAGATTTTAGTATACTATTCTCTTAATAGTGTGCCCCACTAAGTTCTGCACCAAGCAGGGTAAGCGTCAGAATCCTCTGAAATGATTTCAAAGTGTACGTGTTCTCCTGCACCAGGATAGTCATTTAGATTTTTCTGAGTCCCTAAAGTGATTGTGAATGGCGGATGTCTGCCCTAACACAAGTGATGTATATAACTCACTTGTGTTATATCCTGAACTGTGGCCTGCAGATCCTTTTGAAGTCCCAGGATCCTTTGAGGATTCAATAGGGTCAAAACTATTGTCACAGTAATGTAATACTATGTTGTTATGGTCTTTTCCACTGTGTTGACCAAATGTGTTGACACTGAGAAGATCTGCTTAATTCAATGAGCCGATATTTTCCAAATGACCAATGGACGATGTCAAAAATCATGAGTGGATGCTGGGCACGGTGGCTCACGCTTGTAATCCCAGCACTTTGGGAGGCTGAGGAGGGAGGATCACAAGGTCAGGAGATTGAGACCATCCTGGCCAACATGGTGAAACCGCGTCTCTACTAAAAATACAAAAATTAGCTGGGCATGGTGGCTCGTGCCTGTAATCCCAGTTACTTGGGAGGCTGAGGCAGCAGATTCACTTGAACCTAGGAGGTAGAGGTTGCAGTGATCCAAGATTGCACCACCGCACACCAGCCTGGTGACAGAGCAAGAATCTGTCTCAAAAAAAAAAAAAAATCATGAGCGGGTAAATTATCCATTGAAAGTGGATAGATGAAGAAATTTTATTGTAATAGAGTAGGAAAAGTTATTATCTAGTTCTGTATTGCACAACCAACTTTTAAGAAAGTTCCACTTGTCAAGTTTTGGTATAATATCAAAGAAGACTATCCACAATTACCTGAAACGACTATCAAAATACTTCTTTTTCCAACTGCATGGGTAGGTGAGGCTGGATTTTCTTCAATACTCAACCAAAACAGAGTAAGTTGAGGAGTAAATAGAAAATTCTATTAAAGAGAATTACAAAAAATATAAGAAGACACCATTTTGTTGTTTTTAACTGAATTAAATATTTCTAAAATTTCTTCATTTTAATTTCTAATATGGTAAATATCAATAGTTAAAATCCATATAAACATATAACTGATGTTCTTAATAATTTTTAAGACCCTTAAGGGATCCCAACATCAAAAAGTTTGAGAAGCTCTGCTGTAAAATATGGAAACATAAAGACTTCGAGTTAAACACATTTGAAACTCACTTGTGTTATACCCTGAACTACATGTGTAGGTGATTATATTTTATTCAAATTAATTTTACAGCTCATCATGTGGTGTATGAAAAATGCAGGCAATCTCTACTCTGGTGGATTATTAGAAGCAGGTTCGTTTTTTTTTGGTTTTGGTGGGTTTTTTTTGAGACAGGGTCTCACTGTTGTTCAGGCTAGCATGCAGTTGTACGACCACGGCTCATAGCAGCCTCAACCTCCCTGGCACAAGCAGTCCTCCCAGCTCAGCCTCCTGGGTAGCTGGGACCATGAGTACCTGCCACCACAGTCAGCTAATTTTCTTTTTATGGAGACAGGGACTTGTCATGTTGTACAGGCTGGTCTCCTGGGTCTCCAAGGCCCACCTTGGCTTCCAAAAGTGCTGGGATTACACAGGTGAGCCACTGTCCCCAGCCCAGATTAGTTTTTTAATTTTGCTGTGTGTAAGCATTTGTAAGTTTCCTTCAGGTTGATTGTAGCATAACGCCTTTAGAATTATTACTTTAATATGAACCCTTTATTAGCCGTAAAGAATTGCTTCCTTATGACCCCAACACATTTGGAAACTAAAAACTAATTTAAGTGTAAACATAAGGAAAATATAATTGAAAAGAGGAGTATTTTACAGATGCAGTGCTTTTTAACATGAAAAGAAGTGCTCTTAGTGTATACCCCTCTCTTTTCTAATTACTGTGGAAGAGGGTTGACTAAGGAAATGTTAAGAGAAAAATGCCAATCCGTGGTCATAACTAAATAAGATGCATTTTCTACCTTCAAAATAGAGTTTTAAAATATATTAAAATTGGGCTGGGCGCAGTGGCTCATGC